GAAATCGTTATATTTTATAATAGCAGTATTTTTGCTTTTTTACATATTATATAGTATGCCTTAAGGCTTGCCTCTTTACCGGTATTCCATTGCATATCAGAAGAAATTTAGAGAAAAAGGTGGCAATTAGTCCCAATAAATCGTTATTATTCAGCTAATCCAGTTTAAGCCTTTTTTTTTCTCTTTTTTTTTCCCTGAAAAAATCGTTTTTTGAAGTTAAACACAAATCTTGAGCACTTGAGTATCTGAAGTAGATAACACACTCGTTTCTTTGTTCTTTGTTTCGAATTAAAAAACAATAAGCTTGTCATTTTACTAATTTAATCCTTGTGTTTTTATTTAAAAGTTATTTACTGTTCCCACTATTTCGTGAAATGAATTGAGATTTTATATAGCATAATCTTCGAAATATTTAGTCATTTTTTACGTATCGTATAGATTTTAAAATGTAAAATGTGTAATCATTGAGATTATGATATGTAAAAATGAATATATTAAATTAAAATATGTAGACGTTTAAGGTGAAGAATTCAGCAATGAATACTTGTTAATTATATTATTTAGAATGAAAATAAGCAAACATTTTCCTAAAGAGAAAATTATATATACATATATAAAGGATTTAATTTATTACCATAGGTGAAACCTTCAGAGTTGTCAAAATGTAATCAGTTTTATCGTTGTTTTCTTTATAGAAATGAGTCAATGATTATCTTTGTACCTTATTTTTCATAGCTTTACTATTTAGCAAACGATTATGCTTCTACAGCTAAGGTTTGGGGAAAATTTTCGCTTAATAAAATTTGTAATGTAAATGTATTCTTGCATTTACTAATGCGGATAACTTGATAAAATATGTCTTTGTTAAAGCAGATGAACCAGACGGAATCGCTTTCCGTCAGTTCCCTAATATTTACATGGTTTTCAATAACGAAACAATATGTCTTCTGCTATGAAATTCACAATTAATTGAAATGCATCCCCTCTGAAAGCCAATTAGGTATCGAAACTCAATTGTATTATCAATCGAAATTTCATGCTTAGTGCATTGAACTACGGTAGCTTGTATACATTACTACACTAGAACAACGTCATATACTATAGAAGTCTGTTGTCATCATGCATCCCCAAGGTGACATCACAAAGCATTTCTATCTCTACAATGAAAATTTAAGCTATAAATTCCTGTTTACCTAATACTTTTAATATTTTGCAGTAAGAGTCATTTACACAGCCGTGACTCAAAATTTCTACATTACGAAGAGAACGAAGTTAGCAAAATCATATTTACTTTACAAATACGTTATAATGAAAGGATGAAGTGACTAAAATTTGAGATAATTTTGAGGCATAGAAAATGTAGAAATTAGCACCTCGAATATTTGCCTCTGGAACAAATAACAGCTGTTCTACCGCTCGAAATGGAATCGAACAGATGCTGAATGGTAGTTATGGGGGTTATATCTCAGTTCCGTACTAAAGACGACTTCATTTCTATTATTCTTCCGTCCTCAGTTCTTTACTAAAATTAATTTGTCATATTACCGTTCATTTGTCACATACATGTCTCTGCAACCATTGACTTACCATTTTATTTCGTGAGAGTTGTAGAATGAGCCAGTCAAGGCAAGAGTCGAACACTCTGTGTATTCAGGAAACGTAGGATAGGGCATGCAACATGGGGCATTGCATAGTCTTGTAGAAAGCTAGAACGTCAGCGGATCCTTAGTTATGGCCCCGAACAGACCACTGAAACCTGAGTTATGTAACAGTGGCTGGACTATGTAACGCGTATGCGGACTTAGAGATGAATGGGATATGTATCTAGTGGCTTCATATATTATTAATGCAGTTACGATTAAGATTATTACGATGAAGAATGCACATTTCCAACTTTCATTCCACTAGGTGCTTCTACTACACATACATACAGCCGTTATAACGCTGTAAGCAAAAGCTGCCTTCGTCAGAAAACTAAATGTCATACCATCGATGCGTCCATGTGAGTTGTTGAACGCAATGAGAGCTTATTATCGTGTTGCAGCATCAAGGGCAGCCAAGGTAGTGGCATCCTTATAGACAATCCATGGCGTTAAGGACGGATCCGAATACTCGTTAAGGACATATATCCGGATACTCGTTTCTGTGCAGTAACCCAATTTCATGTCCCAAGACACGTGATGTGACTTTATAAATAACAGCGCTGAGTATAAGATCTGTCCTCGGATATCAGTAAGTGGAGGACCAATGAGATTCGCAAGTCGCTGCGCGTAGCTCTACTATCGACAACAAATTCTTATAACCATCGACAACAAATTCTTATAACTGTCGAATTTCGATCAATGCCCGAGATGATAGGCTATGATCTTCCGGCGATCGAATTCAGGGACATGCTGGTTAAGAGTTCCTTCTTCATATATGAGATTAAACACAGCCTCCAATAAAATTGCAAAGAATAAATGAGATTACAAATTAAAAATTTGTATTTTGACATTTTCCTTTTATATTGCTTCAATCTGTGATTATTTTTGCTTATAATGTGCACATGCCATGAAAGGAAAAACATTTGTTTACACCAGCGTGTCTTCTTAATTGAAAACAGTGCACATTTGAAGGTACATAGTATACAGAGATCATTGATGAACTTCAGCACAGTTTACCTGAGTAGTTGGCTTACTCTAGCACTTTTGTTTTCTATTCCTGTCTACTGTAAGTTGTGTACTTTTTGACAGCTCTTATATGTCTTTAGCTTTTATACTTGAATCATTTCGTATCAGCGTAACACTCTGTCACGTAAGGTTACGAAAGTATCTTTTCATATAGTACTTAAGATTATTTAATGGAAAAAGGGCATCTCTTTGAAGCCATAAATAGTGTCTTTAACTACAAGAAAAAATTCAGTGAAATATTATGAGGAAACATAGGCAGAAGATTTTGAATCAACTACCCTTAGTCTCCTTGATATAAATGAAATGAAGTCTAATTTTAATGAACAACAATACTATTATAGTACATATTAATTTTATATAAAAAAGCAATGCTAAGCTTCCTTTTTTAAACGCAAAAAAGTCATCCTACTTAACCTGGAGAAACATTTAAAGTACTGTTATGCATGAAAAAAAGAAACAGTAATAAAAATACTAGTAATTGTTTCATAAATTATATCATTGTTCAAATATTTGATTTGATGTTTTATATTGATTTTAATTTTGATTTTTAAATATGCTGTCCTTATTTTGATTTATCATATTTATTTTAACTTACTAGCATTGTTTCATTACGATTTTCAACTGGGAATTCTGGATATCATTTTAATCAATCTGTTTTCAGAAATTTAAATTATGGTAGATTATCAGGCAACTCATTATGAACAAGCATATTATGAGAAGGACTGCTTGAAGGTGTCAACAAAGCACATGGACTCATCAGTGGTATGGCATCGCCTTTTCTGACGAATGCTGCTTTTGCATACTATACCATAATGTGTAGTATTCGTGTGCAAGAAGCGCCTGGCGGTACGTTGTCCAGCCCCGTTACATCACTGAGATTTCAAAACGCCTTTCGGTGCCACAATCTTAGGTCCACTGTTATTCCAGTTTTCTGCAGGACTATGCTTTACCTCATGCTGCATGCTCTATCCTATGCTTCCTCAATACATGGAGAGTGTTCGACTCCTTCCTTGGTCGGCGAGCGAATCTTTCACAGACTGAAAACTGTAAATCAATGGTAGCAAAGATATCCGCCAGGTAAGTACGACCAATGAACTTCAATAAAGAATTGAAGTCGCATGAATAATAGAACTGAAACCGCCTTAGTAGAGAAATGAAGCAATGATACCCATAAGTACCATTCAAAGTCTGCTCGACTTCATGTCGAGCGGTAGAACAGCTGCTATTTGTACCAGAGAAGGATCAAGTAGTATACCCTACTTGAAAGCACTTCTTGTTAAAAATCTTTCGAAAGAAATATGTCGGCATTTATGCGGTATGGTAGGCATACATGGGGGAAATGAAGAATGTTTCGCTAATGTAAAATTTCATTGTTAATCGAATCCAAAATTAAATTTTCCGATATCCAAAATTATTACTATTCTTTGAATGGCTTTCTGTCCGTTATTAAAAAGCTATTTTATACTAAAAGCACATTTCTGCGGATTTCTTTTCTTAGATGATATGCGCGAAAGTAGCCCTTTACCGTCATTAGGCTCTTAAAAATGCGCTGTATTAAATAAATTCCCATTATTTTCCTACAAAGGCCCGAAGATGACGCGTCCAATCTTATTTAAGAGTAATGAAAAGCTATCATCAAAATGGGAATAAAATCAGCCTTTGTGATTTTGTTTCTAACGGCGTGCATTAATAAATTCTAATGCTGAGCTTAATGCGCCGATTTAAAACTGTAAATTCAGGAGTTTTAGTATTTATTCGGAAAATCAGTGAGCTATAAAAAATCATTATCAAGGTACAATTATATTCGTGAGCTGATATTTAATATATAAATAACATTTTTTCTTGAGGAACAATATTTAACAGAATAAATCAAATTGATTTTTAAAAATATAATTTTTAAATATTTTTATTTGTTTATTTATTCATAATCCTTTTTTTGTATACTGTTGTTTTCTTAAATACAAATATTATTTTTCAACCTATGTGATTTTATTAGCAAAAACCTTTACTTTCCCAACTGAATTGCAGTTCTGAATTTATTTCTTAAAGTATTTAATTACTTATATTAAAAGCAAATTTAGTTCCCTGACATTAGACTCCAAATCTGATGTTTATTAAATACAGAATCATATTTGCTACACCAAACCTAAGCACACATTCTAATTTAATATACTTTTTTTCTTATTCAAACATATTAAGACATAGAGAGTAGATATTTTAGCCAGAGTTCTAAATTTTAAATTTTATTTTAAAAAGAACAAATTATTAATGCTGTGAATTATTTGAATATTTCAGCATAAATATAAATATGATGAAAATAATTAATATTACCTCTCCTGAATCACATCGGCCCCAACATGACATTGCAGTGACATGGTCCCAACACTGCCGCCCACTAGCATCAGTCTGAGAAGCTCGAAATGTGAATTCTCGTCGATGACATTCGAGGGTGGTCTCTGGATCAATCACAAGTTCTGGATCAACCGTAGATAGCCATGCAGCTATCAACAAAATTCCTATCGTGTGATGTCCAAGCATTAGAGACAGGAGGATACTGAAAGAAATGTTACTGTAAATAATACAATGCCAATAAAGGAAGAGAGAGAGGGAAAACACTTTAAAGTTCGAACCTAAATCCTAATTTTTTTTAAAGGATGGGCTCAATTGAACGCTTTTCCTTTACTTCACTTAGCAGTTAGATCTGTCGGAATGTACTTTTAATATGAGACTCAGTATTATACTTGTATGGAAGGGGATATGATTTAATTTTGAAAAACTATACATAAGAAAGGCTTGCGCGTCGCGCAGCAGTACCACAGGTCCGGGATTCGATCCTCGTGCTGGGCAAGGTTGATTCAGCCATTCATCCCTTCAGTGGGTTGGTAAAATGTGTACCAAGTTCACTTGGGGACTAAACACCTTGTCCAGGCAAAGATGCTCAAGCACCCCGGAGCCCATGTTCTAGAAAGCAGATATCAGGTTACTGCAGGTCATAGCTCTCTAAGCGCTGTTTGTGCGCCGAGTTTATTTTAGTACATTAAAGAAACGTTTAGTTTTTATTAGTCTTTATATTATATAAACTATTATAAAGAAAATATATTTCATTTTATGATTTATTTTGTTTTTGAAAATTGAAGGTATAGTTTTAATCCATTGGAAAATTTCAAAATGACCCAAGCAAAATCAAGGAAAAAACAATTAGATAAAGCTAATAGTTTTTAAAAATGGGACACTTTTCAAAACACTTCGACTTTTACACTGCCAGAGAGTCTCCCTTCTAGTTTTATTCTTGTAGCATGCACGGCACATTTTACTTTAACGATAGAAAATTTTCTTTTCTTCTTAGTTTGAGGAATATATTCCCGAAAGTGTGTCTAATTATTGGCCTTCAGCATAGCTGATGTGTCATTATGCGAAATACGTCCACGAGTTTATAATCTGATAGAGTAACTTTTTAGAATTTGTTCAACTATATCCAACCGAAAGCTTCAAATCCATTTTTGTTCGTATTTTTGGCTTTCGTATATAACAGATATGAACTATACAGTGAAATATCAAACATATGCCGCCCAGCCGGTATAGTGATCAGTGACCCTGACTGGCGTAGCCATAGACCCGGGTTCAAATCCCGGAGAAGGCATGTTCGTCCTTTCATAACGGGTCAACGGTGGCCACCTATCCTGCGTTTCCATAATGAAATGGCCACCACTTCCGACCTTTGTAATAGTGTAAGGCTAATGGCTATTAAATTTTAAAGCACCCTTCCATTAAAAAAATATGTCCGTTCGTACATTTCCGCATAACCGGAAATCATGCTAACTGTTGATCATTTTTATCAAAGACTCACATTCCGTCATTATATTCAGTCAAAGGACTAGTTTTGGAACATTCTATTTATTACCACGTTTCTATTTCTCTTTTTTCCCATATCTACGATGTCAGCATTACAGTGTTTGTTGCTGAGCATATATGCATCGCTTTTGTCGCACCATATCAAAGCACGTAAAGCTTGACTGGAGAGAACTGGAACTTCTCTTTATCTAACTTTATCTCTGTATAACTTTCTGGGTGCACTCCTAGATCTCCTAGATGTCCCTATATGGTCCTAGTAGACCATGCGAATGCTTTCACAGAAATAAACTGTTGAAATCTTTTGATAATTTTCTTGTCTCTGAATGCTATCGAAATTAGGACCTTTAATGTAAGTTTCTACTTTGTGAAGCAGAAGGCTTTCCAGATATGACTGATTTGGTGAATGAGAGGATGATTAATAAAATACTTTGTTTGCAATCAAAACCTTGACGTTATATATATTGTGTTAAGAGATAACAAAAATATGTTATATGACTGAGTATTTTCTTACATTAAGTAATTCTTTTCAAATACCGAGTCTCATGCTTCTCAATAGAATACTAAATCGGTAGAGGTAGTTAAGCATTTTATTTTGGATCAAAAGACATGAAAAATATGTAGTACCATCGGCAGGATTCGAAATCCGGACTTTACTTTCCTGTTAACCACGAAGACACGCGATTAGGAGGGAAGAAAACCTTACAAATCTGCTATCTTCCTTGAATGTAAAATTTCTATATGAATTATTGCCTGCCAATCGAAAAGATGACTAGCGGCGTCTTTACTGGAAAATTCTAAAAGCAAAGTGTCTCTGGCAGAGGCAAAATTCTTCTTACTCAAGCTGGAGTTTTCCGGTTTGTCTCTGAATTTTTAATAAAACGTATCGGCGTTCATCACTAATAATGACTTGATTTAAAAACTAGATAAATTTTTCATAAAATCTAATAATATTTTCGTGTTTAGGGTGATTTCATATTTTTAATTGTGTTCCATTATGGGTCACACCTAGTATAAATCATGAATTTTTTTATAAAAATATACATTATTTTCCTTTTTAGTGCCATTTTGACATTTTGTAATTTTTTTGGGTGTACAAAATGTTTCAAAAATCCTCTCGTTTTTTTAATAATTTTTAATCGTTCCTTGTCTTTCTGAACCTTTTTTATATTAAAAGCAATATCAAATTTCTATCGTGTTTGAGACTGTCATAATAGAGGTGTAAAGCAATACTTAAAAACTACTCTCTTTTTATTATATTACAATTTGTTTGTCTCTTTTAACCTTTCTTATTATATAAAGCATTTCTCCCGCCTTCTTAGCATGCCTTCGTAGTGTAATGGTCAGCACGATCGGCGCGTATCCGAGGTTCGAAGCCCGGCGAGGGCACTGCTCATTTTTCCTGACTCCCACTTCGAAATAACCTAATGTCTTTACATTGGCGCCCGAACCAAAAAAGGTGGTGGATGATGATACTATACCACCAGGATTTGGCGATTGGGTTCCCTAATCCTCAGTCGCCCTTTAAAAAGGGGAGTATATAAGGTATTTCTCCACCTTCTTAGCATACCTTCTTCATGTAATGGTCAGCACGCTTGACAAGTATCCGAGAGGTCCAAGGTTCGAGTCCCGGTGAGGGCACTGCTCATTTTTACTGTCTTCCGCTTCGAAATAACCTAATGTCTCTACAATTATATTAAAATGAACTAACATTGAGTATCAAATTTCGAGAGTCTCATAATAAGGCATGAAATGTTTATAATGAGCAGCATATGGAATACAAATAGGATGTATTCATCAATATGTTGATTAACAATCAGCATGCTGATGAATATGTCATGTGCCCTATAGTGTATGGCATATGTTGCTACTGTTTCCTAGTTACATAAAATCCTTATTGCTTTTCAGTTTGTAACCTCTGAATAGGTAATAGCAGATATCGATTTTATATATTCAAATAAAATTTTCCTTCAAAGTTCCTTTGCAATAATTATCACTAAGTATTATTTGATGATCTACTGTTATTGATTTAAAAATTAATTCCTAATTACTTTATAAAAGCTTTGTATATCTCCCTACATGTATATGTGTATGCATGCCTGTATGTATGTATATGCATGTATGTATATATGCATACATGTATGTATATATGCATACATGTATGTATGCATGCATATATATAAGTTTGCATGAGATATTTTGGAAAATTTGGTGGCATAGTCGATCTTTGAGGTCATGATGTTGAAGCTTAGAGAAGCAGTTGCAGAAGTGACCGGTTTTAAAACTTTCTGCTTTCTTCCCATTGAGAAACATTTCTATAAGCCAACACAAATAAACTGGCGTAGCAAGAGCGCCTATTCTAGAATTTTTTACATTTTTGATGTTGAGGTAAGAACAGAAGTAGCAGGTAGCAGTCTAGCTAGACCTAAAAGCAAAAAGCTTGTGTGACAGTTTCATTATGAAAGCTTGAGGCAAATGAAAAATTTTACGTTTCACAATTAATTAGCTTCAGTTTGCTTTACCTGGAATGGATAATATTTAAGTTTCAAAACCTGTTATTGGCCGAAGCCTTATGTTAGTTTTCTACATCAGAGCGTTTGGTAAGAGTCATCTGATGTCTATTAATTTTAAAATGAAGCAATTTAGAAAGGTTTATCATAAGCAATCACTATTTTTAGGACAGAAAGGGGAAATACCCAAATTAAAATGAAGAGTCATGGGACTATTGCAAATTAAAGCTAATACTTTCTTTGCTTTACGTATTTTTATTTAATGCACACATACGCATAAATGTTTGTCTATGTGTATACGTATATGTATATATGTGGACACAAAGATTCTTTTTACATCGGAGATTAGCAACACCGTCACCAACAACGGCACGTGACCGCCTCTAGCTGAAATGCCAGTCGGGAGAGAAAGACAAAAGCGATAGCGTGATTCGGAAGCAGCAAAATGTGATGTGAAAGTGACGACGCGTTTGAGGAAACTATAGAACTATAGAGTGTTCTGTGACGCCGTTTGATGTGGCACCATTCTATTTTCGTGATATTATGAACTAACCATTCATCTTATTTTTTTCATTTTTACATGTTATCTTCGGGCTAGTTATGACCACGTATTTTCATCATTAAAGTACTATATGTTATTACCGGTGCTATCATTACAATAGAGTAAAATGACACCCTTCATATATAGAAAGAGACAGAAAAAAAGAGATAAAATATGTAGAATTAATATCAATCAAATGTTGGGAATTTTCTAATGGTATGCAAATTAAAAACAATTGAATTATAAACCTGGAAAACAAAATTGAAATAAAATAATTAATGCAAAATAAAACAAAATTCACATAATATTAAATAACAATTGATAATATTTTTATCTTTGTCAAGAAGCAACCAAAAGAATTATCAACAGAATACAGCTTATGAATTATATTTGAAGGAATTGTTAAAATAATCAAAGCATTCCTTAAATTTAAAATAATTGAAGGAGAAGGCAAAATTTATAGTATTTAAGAAACTTAATTTTTTATTAATATACAATGATAAAAACCTGCTGTTATCTGAAACGAATCATCCAGGTATTCGATTTGACGTGACGCGAAATCAAGTATTAATTTTTTTTAAACAAGAAGAAGAAAAGTTATTAATTAAAAATTTTAAAATTAGTAACTTAAAAAATTAATTGAAAGTAATTAAC